CAAGCATTTATACGCAGCTTCCACTCAAAGTAGCTTTCAACAGTGTAGGTGAGGCAAAGATGCTAAAGCGGAGGACTTTTTTACAATGGTGTTTTGCCAATCTGGCTGGAAGTTTACAAGGAGCTGCTTGCGACAAGACTTGGTGAGTTCTCTTTAAGGCGGTTATTAGGGGTATGTAAGTTTATCTTAAATTACCATGTTATGCTGGAGAACCAAGTGGAGACGAACAAATTGAAACTGGTGATAATGTACGGCTTAAATTCTGTATGTCTGCCACAAATTGTTGGGTGCCTTGGAGGCTTCAGCGCCTCGTGGTACTTGTAAACCCTGCGCCTGATGAAAGCTGTGCTGTTATTTGGCTAGGTATCGCTGTGATGATGCAGGGCACGACCCACGATGAAGCACACTCTATTGTACCCCGAAATACCCAGTAGTAGAGACATTAAGCCCCCAATTGAGGATACTAGGAGGGTCCTGGTAAATAGTCTCTTTCGAACGCCTGGTGTTGTTGCAAGGCTGCCAAACAAGGCCTGAGCACACCTCAGCCTCGTTCTGAGAGCTGTGGTGGCAGACCAACTGTGCCAAAGCTGTGGAAAACAAGGCAGCTGGATTGCGCAGAATGGACAGCTACGTCCTACGTGGTCCTACGTGTTGAGGAACAGTGTGGCATCGTCGAGATGCGCGCAGGCTCCCCGTCGACGGCCTTGGAGGAGGAAAAACAACGAGCGGGAAATTCCATAAAGATCTGAGCGTTGCGGTGGCGGGAGATGTCTGACATCTCGGTAAGCCCTTCCTAGGGCAAGCATGCAATTGAAAGGCTCCTGCACAGATGTGAACCAGACGGCTTCTAGCCTTGCTACTTTCTCTAGGCTTCCGGCCCCCCAGACTTCCACCCCACTTGGGTTCCCCCTTAATGAGGGTTCTTTAGGAATACTAAGCCCTAAACCCTAAACCGCTAATGAGGGTGATTTAGGAATTCTCAGGGCTGGTTAAGGCCTGAAATCCTCGGAGGCTTTGAGGAATCCGAGCGGCCTACCTCAGCCTTCAGCCCTTCAAGTGCAATGGGAGGCATATGCATGGTGACTTTTGGAAGAGAGGCATATAGCTGAAGAGCTTTTTGGTTCAGGGTTGGGGGTTTAGGGTTTGGGGTTTGGTGTTTAGGGTTTGGGGTTTAGGGTTTATTTGGGGTTTAGGGTTTAGGGTTTGGGATTTAGGGTTTAGGGTTTAGGGTTCCAGGTTTGGGGTTTAGGGGTTTGGGGCTTTGTGTTTGTTTGGGGTTTAGGGTTTAGGGTTCCGGGTTTGGGGTTTAGGGTTTTCAGTTCCCAAAGTCATCCTGCATCCTCAGCCCTGGGCCTGGAAACAAAATTTGCTCGCACTCCCGAGTTCATTCCTGGTTCCTAGTAGGGAATTAGGGAATAGAATCCCTATATGAGCTATAGTCTAAACTCCTCAAAGGAAGTTCTATAGGGGATTATGTAGGGGACTATTGTAGGCTGTAGGGGTTATTAAGGGGGATACTAGGAGTTTAGACTATAGCTCACATAATCCCTCTATTGTATATTCCCACATTCCTTGCAAAGAACACTGCACGTAAGGATTTTCAAGCTGCGTGCAAAGGCGCGGAATCAAAACTGCCGTGTCACATCCAACAAATTCATCTTGAGTAGCTCAAGACATAAGATAAGGAGGAAAAAGCCTAAGGAAGGCAAAGACTATAGTCTATAGTCCCCCTTAAGTGGATAGAATATGGCCTTGGGCATATTATAAAAATCCCCATATACCCCATATTCTATCTACTTCAGGGGGACTATATTACTATATTTGCAGTACAACACACACCCCTCCACATTCCTGTGGCTCGGCTTACTGCCTCGGCCCAGCCTCAAACGAGAATCCCAGCTTCGCTGTCCACAATTCTGATGTCAGCACAGTTTTGCCAGATCTGCCTCGTCTCTTCGCAGTCCCACCTCCACGAAAGCAAATACTCCCCGGCCTCGAGGTTAGCAGGTACGATCACCCGGTCCATGATGCTCCAGTCCCACGTCTTGTTCTCAAACGAAGATAAGCCCGGCAGTGGCTCTGGGAACTGGGCCGTGCCGGGTGGGCATGCAGAGGAGAGTGAGACATGGGACCCATCGCACATGGCCGAGCAAATGTTCCACTTCTGCCATTCGGCCGTGCCAGGCGGAGGGCCAGCCTCCACCGCGGGCCCGCAGGTCTCGTAAGTGGAGCACATCCTGCATGCCGGCACTGGGTTGCGAGCCCATTCACTGCCTGCTGGATAGGTGCCAACACTCACTGTTGTTCTTGGAAATGCTGCTCGCGAGCCATTCACGAAGGCGATCCAGGAAGTGTTCCCTGCAAAGCGAAGTGGAGTACGCTGGAAGCACTCCTCAGTGATGTTGCCATCGTTGCGGCACAGTCTGTACGAGTACCCACCGCCGTGGTTGGCAATGATGGCCCACGCTACCTCCACCTCTGTTCCACGGACCCAAACATGGCTGGAGACCTTCGGGAGCTTCAGGCCATCTACACCCTGAGGATACCCAGGTGGTGGCTTGCCAGCACCAGGGTAGTTGTAAGGCCCACCAGCCGCAACCCCACAGCCGGAGCCAAGGACGGGCGTCCGCCCCGGTGCCCGCCAAGGAAAGCTCCGATACACGTCTTCGGGACCTCAGGGTTATTTTGGGATTTCATTGGGATAATGGAAAATAGAATGGAAACTACTATAATAATGTATTGGACTTATATGGGGAGAATCCGGGACCTCCGGAGATATTCACCTCGACAGTCCGGGCGTAGTCAGGCAGTGATGGTGGCGAAGAGCTCTCGACCAGGTTCGAGAACCACATGCACGCGCCCTCGGCGCAGCTGCCTCCAGTCTTCAATGAACCGCCATGCCGGGTGGACGGAGGGAACGACAGGAGGCCATGGCCATCTAACGGACCAAATACCGCAGCCAGGATGACGAGGCCTAGGGCCACCATTCCAACGTTTAGAGCAGCACGGCCGAACTTCCCCTTGAGCCAATAAAAACTGTTCCAAGTGGTGTCCATGGTGTCTGCGATTGGTTCACATGAGCTACTGTCTAAACTCCTAGTATCCCCCTTAATAACCCCTATAGTAGTCCCCTATATAATCCCCTATATCACCCCCTTTAAGGAGTTTAGACTAGGGTTCACATTGATGAACGTGGGCACCTTGCTACTGACGTAAAGTATCCTCGAAGTCGCTGCTCTGAGCCTCAAGCCGCAGTGCAGCCACAGCACCTCAGCAGAACTTTCCCAACATTAGGGTTACCCCATGGAGCGTTCCCGATTCCCATAATAAGGATTCTAGTATTTTGGGGGTCTTAGTATTTTGGGAAACTACCACATGCATCTCGGCAGGGCGAAGCATGTCAGCAAGCATTGCAAGCATTTCTAGGCATCCAGCATTCGGAGCGGCCATACAACTGCGCCAAGAAGGTCGCGCAAGTCATCGCAACCGCTGAGACGCAGAAAAAGTGCCCATGTTAGCAGTAGTCGCTTCTTGATCAATCTGGCTGCAGCTGCCAAGGGTCTTGGGTGCTGGTCGTCACAATAGCAAGGAGATGCAATAGGTGCTAACCTGCTAGGACTTCCGAACCATCATCAAGACTGTGTTGTGGAGTTTGGTGCTCACATGTCAATGGACAAGTCTACACTGCTCCTCACTTCATTGATCACTTCGGGCAGTGTCACGGTCTCCGCTTCAAGCAACCAAAACACCAAGGCAGTTGGACAAATGCACGATTTTCTAAAACAAGCAGTCGGCAAACGCAGACGTACACATGGCCTTGAACTCACGATGCCTTGAGCTGACATCATGCATGTCAATGAAAGCCTCGGCCTGGTGCATCTTGAATCCAGATAAGCTGTTATCAAATTCCACAGACACCTTGGCAAAATCCTTATGTAGCACTAAGAAGAGGGATTGAAGCCATCCGGCCCATGATCTTGCGCATGTCCATACATTCTGCCGGGGGCTCCGCATGTCATGTGCTTGCACGTCACTTTTGACTAGGACCACAGGATAGGCATCGAATGCGTGTGGATAATGCAATTCTACTGCCTGTAGGGCTTCATGTCATCTGGTAACGATCGTCTTACCAGCACTGACGTTGCTGCAGCATGCTATGCTTTTTGAGCTCTACCTGTGGTTCCAGTTACCTACAGTATCCTACAGCTTTATGCGTTCTACCTATTAATTAGGTGGTAGTTCAAGATCCAGGGTGGATCCCCAGGTCAGCAAACAACAACTACCGTTGCGCCTTCTGTGAAGGCCTTTTTGACACAGCGGGCTGCGGCGCCATCATGTAGGTCTCAATGTCAACACGTATTTATACATGGGACTCAACTGCAACACGCATTGCTAATATGCAACTGGAAATCAGTTCAAACGTACATGTGTTAAGCACTGCTGGCTAGCAGTCTCTCGTCCGGCATGCCGTGTTGCGATGCGTTAAGAAGCCTTGCTAGCTTCCAGCTCCAACTAATCATGAAGCCTGAACCCCAAACTCTAAACCCTAAACTCCAAACCCTAAACTCTAAACCAGAAACCCTGAACCCTAAACCTAAACCCTAGACCCTAAATTCAAAACTCTAAACCCTAAACTCTAAACCAAAAACCCACAACCCAATCGAACTCCAATTTTCCCAAAGGCGGGGTGAGATGCTATTGGATTCAATTCCGTGGTGAGACGTCATTAGGTGGACCCCCCAACCCAGTCATTGTGACTGCAAGGGAGAATAAGGATCATAATACGTCCCATTATATTCCTATATTACAGGGCGGGGGAGGGGTCCTTCAAGGGCATTCACCAAAATGAGGGCGTATTCAAGTACCAGGTTAATGACTCCCAAAATGCAATTGCTACAAAACAAGTTGTCTTTACGGTTTCTTAAAACTCTACACACCCTAAACCCTGAACCCTAAACCCTGAACCCTGAACCCCTTTTGGCAAAAGCCGATGGGGCCAGTCAATGAAGCTCCCTCTCAGCCAGCTTCTGCAAAGACTGTTTGGAGTGCACCTCATGTCTCCCTCTCTTTCAGGCTCCCATGGGCAGGGCTTGGGGTTTACGGTTTTGGGTTTAAAGGTTAGGGTTTAGGTTTCGGGGTTAGGGGTTAGGGTTCAGGATTGTATAGCCCTCTGAATACCTAATACATTACGCTTTGAGCTTCAAAGCTGCGGTTTTAGGCTCCGGGCCCTGTGCCAGAATAACTCCCAGGGTGCAGGGCCCTATTTTGCGTGGAGGGCTGAGGGTTATGGGTTTTGTTCAGGGTTTAGGGTTAAGGTAGGGTTTAAGATTTTGGGTTAAAAGTGTGTGTAGAATGATGGCCTTTTGACTGTGTCTTGGGTTTGGGTCTCATTCTTTTACCTACTTCTGAAGCCCAGGTTGGAGCAGCGCCTTTGATATACATGAGCTATAATCTAAACCTTAAAGGGACCTATATAGGGCATTATTATATACAGGAATATTATAAGGGTTATTAAGGGGGATACTAGGAACTTGGACTATAGCTCACATGGGTCAAGGATTTTGGGAGAAGGTTGAGGTTCGTGGTAGGTCTTAGCTCGATCACGGGCAAGGCAAGCGCATTTACAACCCAAAGTAAGGTACTTGTCCACCCCGCTTCTAGTCACAGAGGCTTAGCTTTTTGGAGCTGAGCGTTGAGAATTATCCCTACTTCCTTTCCAATAATTATCAAACGGGTTTCTAGCTAATTGTCAGATCAACCTCAATTAATTATTAGGCTGGCTGTATTCTGAAAGCAAAATAGAATATGTACGATCATTGTTCGCGGCAAGGTCCAAAACATTCGTATACAAAAGAGAATCTTTGCTGTCAAGTTGGGACATGAAAGCGGTTTGAAAATCCTAGTGGGGACCCCAAACCGCTATGACTCGTCCTGCAATGTGCTATGTTTTTGATATGGGGTTTCCCAAAGTTAGGGGTACCTTTTTGGGTGGGGTCCTCATGATAAGGCTTATAGTATTTTGGGGTCTATACAGGGTCCCTTATTTGGAAAACTACCATACGCAGAAACTCCTGGGAAATCCATGCAGCCGCGAAACACCCTTCAGCTGGCCGTCCTGCAGAAATCGAATCACAAGCCGATATCAACACTTGCACTTGGACTGCAAGTGAGTTAAATGCTTTTATATCATTCAGGGTTTAGGCTTTGGAGCTAAATAAACTTGGAATGGAGGATTTAGAGTTCAGGATGTAAAGTCTTGGGTGTAAGGTTTCCAGAAAACAGTCCCGATGTTGTACAAAGACAAACCGACAGGATTTAGGTTTGACGTTTAGGGCTTCAGGCTTAAGGTTCAGTCAGGATGTAACATCAGGTCCTGTAGAGAGCATCTTGATTAGGGAAAGGACCATGGTCCATGATTGTATCAGGACGACACCATGACCTCAGCTTATCAGCGCCACGTCTGCCATTGCCCTCATTCTCACTAGCATTGAACCCTTTTCAAGAACATGCTGCAACGCAAAAATGACGAGATTCACCGCGAGAAGAAGACAGCGTAACCAACACAACAGTCCGCATTTTCGGAGAATCTAATGGTTCTCCCCACACGATCCGTAGCTAACGTAGTTCCTACGCCTTTTCAGAGAATTTTGTCCAAAAACTTGTTGAACGACAATCACAAAATTGGCTTTAGAAACGCGATCGCGGCACGCCGTGCGCCAGAGCTAAGAAACGTGCGCGACAGACCATGAGAGATGAGGGCGTTCATCGGACAAAGGGGGATCCCGATAAAGGAGCCCCACTAGAACATAATCCTCAGTATAGGGACTCCCCACCCTAAACCCTATACCCTAAGCCGTAAGCCCAAACCCTATCCTCGCACAGAATTTCTGGAAAGATCCGACAACAGTGCAACCCGCAGCCAATCCTGCCATGCGCGGTCCGTCAGCTGCTTTGCCGCCAAGGCCTTCTTCAGCTTACTGGGGATTAATAGAGAGTGAGGGAGGCTAGTATATAGGTTTAGTGTGTGGGGGTAGTAGGCAGTAAGGGAGTATAGTACATGGGGTATAGGGTGTAGGGTTAGTAGGGAGTAAGGGAATAATAGTATATACGGATAATATGAGGGTTATGTTCGTTTACTTTCTACTATAAAAGGGTTCTAATGGGAACCCCAAACAGGGAGCCACAAGAATATAGTAGGAGCATAACAGAGCATAAGGACCCTGGTAAGTATCTTCCTATTATATCCCTACTATACTCTTGTGGTTCCCTGTTTGGGGTTCCCAGTAACGTCCCTTTATACTACCCACCAGAGCTTGCAGATGGCAATTTGCCACGGTGCATTGAGGTTACAGGGGGCTCTTTGTAGGGAATAGGGGAATATATTCCCT